CCCTTCAACCTGCCTCCCCTCACTACCCCCACCCTACACCCACCCCCAAAAAATTATTTTTAAAAAATATTTTCAATTTCATAAATTATTTTCTACTCTAGTAAAAATAAAATATGTTCCTCAAAAATATTTTTCATTCATAAATTAAACACTAAAAATTATTTTCAAAAAAAATATTTTCTACGCAATAACCAAACATAAGAAAATAAATTTAAAATCTACTTATTTTCTAGAAAAATATTTTCTAAGAAAACATTTTTCATGAAAAACATTTTCCTTCGTACCAAACACACCCTTAGTGTGTTCCTTTTTTCTTCCAGATAAGATAGATGCTTACAATTTATTTATTATCTAATAAATGGGTTTTCAATGCCCATCTAACCCTTATCTTTACTTCAAGAAAACACAAAACTTTCTGTATAAAGTCGCATGAAGAGCTAATGCTTGCTCTATGAATCTCATCTAAGTTGACTCATTGGTCTTCCAAAGGCTAAAACTTTATGAAATTAGGGAAAATGGTCTGATATATTCCTCAACTTTGTTATTTGGAGCCGATATATCAGTCGTTATAAAAGTGACTCATATATGCCCTTATCGTTATACAAACGGCTCACATATACCCCTGCCGTTACAAAATAGCTCGCATATACCCTTCATTTAACGAAAGTTAAAAAATTTATATTTATTATTTCTAATTTTTTTTAAAAAAATAATTTAGGAGTATATATGATTCTTCTATCAAAGTTTAAGATATATTTTAATTTTTTTCATACATAAATTATTTTTTGACTTCTTTTATTATAATCATTTGCGTTTCTTATTATTATTTTGTTTTTTCTTTCATTCCTTAGTTTAAAGAAGAAGAAAAAATAAACTATTTTTTTGTGTGTATTGTAATTTAATTTCGTATTCGAAGAGAAAATTTGATCGTCTACAATAAATTTTACAAGAATAATAGTGAAACATAAATAAATTTAATTATCAAAATAATAATTATAAATTAGTCATTAAAACAAAGAACAGTAAAAATAAATATGTCTGACGAGGATTAAATTTATTCATATGAGATTATATTTTTTAGAAAAAAAAATTTAGATTAAAATTATATTTTTTTCATTTTCGTTAGAGAAAAAAGGGTATATGTGAGCCATTTGTTTACAAGTAAGGATATATAAGTCACTTTTATAACTAGAAGTATATCAGCTCTAAATGACAAAGTTAAAAGGTATATCAGATCCTTTTCCCTTGAATTTAAAATCTCCATGTGTAGCTGAGTTATTAATTAATGAATTAAGTGTAATAGTGTTTGATCTTTTTATACTAAACAATTGACTTCTAACTTCATATGATCCCAACTAAACCACAAGTGGACTTGTTCTACTTCTCCTAAAGTCATGGTTGCATGTTATCTTCTCTTAGAATCAAAACATGTTTGTCAAAATTAGATAGAGAAAAATAAAAAATATTCCAACACCGTTTAACTTCGAAAAACATGTCTAATCATACAATTTCTTAACTCTAAAAAAGTTTCCTTCACTTCAAAATACTTACAAAATTCAAAAACTTATCATATCCAAACACAATTCCTACTTTTTCAAATATCATTTTTTACGAAATAGAAATAACTTTTTTAAAATACTCGTAATTTTCATAGTCAAACGAACCCTCCAAACCAACCAATGGAGTATAATAATACTCCCTTCGTTTCAGACATCCTTTCCTTTTTAATTTATTTAAAAAAGTGATTTTGGTAACATTTTAATTTCAACTTTTCACGTGACAGGTTTAAAGCCACAAGATTAAAGAACAGTTTTGTATATTTCACATAACTTTAATTTAGAATCACAAGATTCATAAATCTTCTTTACATTCTTAAATTTCGTGCTAGATCAAACCTGATCATTATTTTTTAAACGGATGAATAATAAACAATAGAACACACAACTCATGTAATTGCAAGATTGTACCAAAAAAAAAAGATGAGAAGAAATCACATCATAGAAAGAATGAAATCATAAAAATGAACAAAAACAATCAATCTTGAAGAAAACAATGTAATACAAAATGGCTTAGTATAAGCAAAAGATCATAAAGTTAACAACTCTGTAGCCCCCTTCAAGATAGTGTTGCCATCAAGAAAACACCACAAACCAATCCAAGAATCCCACCACTGATCCTTTTAGCATCATTTGGCTTAGTGTTACTTGCTGGTGATGGCTCATCAGCTGTTGTTTTATCATTACTAGTACCATTCTTGGGTTTAGTAGGTGCAGGGGCATCATCATCACTAGATGGATCAGTAAACTGAGAAGGTACTAAAACTTTGTCTAATTGAAAAACAGCCAATGGGGGGTCTTTTCTAATAGCATTATAAATGTTTGTAACAACAGAACCAGATGAGACATTCACTTGATTGTTACTTCCAGTAAAGTTAAGTCCAAAAGGCTCACCTTTAGGCCCTGTTGCTTGTGTTCTAACAGGGTTGCTTACTGTTTGTAAGTCATCAAATGTGTAGAACTTTGGTATGACATGGTTCAAAATGAGTTGTACTTTTTGTTGGTCATTTAGTTGGTTGAGTGTACCACTTGGGAGGTTGTTAAATGCATTGTCTGATGGTGCCAAAACTGTCATGCCTTGGTTGGAGTTGTTTACTTGGTTGTTGATTTGGTTACCAACTTGTGATTCATTTAGGAACTTGATGAATGTGTTGTATTGTCCTTCTTTTTTGAGGATTGCAAAGATGTCTATTGGTCCTGAGGGTGCTGGTGCTGGTGCTGTTGGTGATTGAGCTTGTGTGAGAATGAAAAGAAGTGGGAGTGTAGATAGAAGAATGAGAGAAAGAGGCTTTTGATGAGGCATTGTTGTTGTTGTTGGAAGAGCTACAAATGTGATATGATGTGTGTGGAGTTGTAAAGAGGATTGTGGTGTTAATTTATGGGATAAGTTTTGGGGCTAATCCTTGGTGGAATGAGCTGTATATGAACTTGCATCAAGACAAATAGGTATTATTTTGAGAAAATGAAAATATAACAACCAATGAATAGACTAGGAAGAATAAAATATAGTAGTAGTTAAGATATCCCAAACCCCCAAAACCACACTTAATTTTTCCATCAAATCAATATTATATAATGTTAACAAAGTATTTGTCGAGTCTAATTCAACGTCAAAAATCATCTGTCTGGTCTTAGGTTCATGAAATGAGCGTTGTTTACATTCCTTTAACTAATTTAAATTTTTTTGAACACTAGTGGATAACTCGAGTTTGAAGCGTGAAATAACATTACAAGACAAGTAATGTGTGACACTTTAAAACCTGTTGGCATGTCTAGGTTGAACAACTAAAGTGTCTGTCTGGTCCAACTCAACATCAAAAGTTAGATATTGTGTCCGTCTAAAAGTTAGGTTCATGAAATGAGTATTGTCCACATTCCTTTAACTAATTCGGAGCAATTTGAATATGAGTGGGAAATTCGACACTTTAAAACATGTTGGCATGTCTAGGTTGAACAACTAGAGTGTGAATAGAATAACATGTGAGTTCAACATTGGAAAAATATAATAACATAGACGGATTTAGTTTGATATTTGAACTTAATTTAACCTGAAAATCTAGTTTTAAGAGATAAGAATTGTCTTAGCTGAACAATATGGGAGGCACTTAAAATGATAATTATAGTAGTTAATGGGTAGTAATCACTCTTTGTCAACTGATTATTACAGAAATTAAGTTAGTAATAATGCACTAAAAGATCAAGCTTGACTTTAATAGAAAAAAAAAATAATGAATTTTAAAAAAAAGTGTAGGCAAGAAATGAAAAGAACCAGATCCAATTAGCCAAAGTAGCAATACCAACTACAAAGATGAAAATACAAATTTTATAATATGAGAAAAGCATATAATAATAGCATTTGACAGAGTGGCATAACATGGCATTACACATTTGTGATAAAACTTACATGGTTTCAACTAAGAAACAGAGAAACTTAGCTTGTCATTCTTTAAATTTATGATTAGGTAGGTCCATTATATATACAAATATATCTTCTTCTGTTTGTGGAATGTCTTTATCCCTTGATTTTTTTAGTTTTACTTTTCATCCGATGTTTGAAGTCGACATTTGAACCTCAATTTAATTTGGATCGTACCCTACACGGCGATTCAGGGGCGCCAGGACGACGTTTTTAGTAGGATTTTCTCCATATCCAAAACTCAGGACGAGCCACTTTACTTTTAAAAAATAGCTAGTGTTATTTTCTTTGGGAATATATTACATTTTATTTGCTTTAATGTAAACTCAATATCTATTTGAACAGAATTTTCTCTTTTTCTACAAGGGATAACTAATGTTTTCTATGAGGAAAAGCACTTAGGTGAGATTTGAAATGACAACTAATTATAAGTTATTACAAACAAAGATGAACTCATGAACTATAATTTTTGGTTGTTGTTATTGTTACTTCATTGCTATAGGTTGTGAGGTGTGCGCTTATCTAGTGTGACAATACTACAAATCAAATTATTTCTCTAGGCGGATATTTGTGTGATAATATTACAAAGAAAGTGGTGTTTTCAACTTAATATGTTATGGTTTCAATGCCCTTGCCAGACAGTGATGAGTTTTACGTGTTTGACCGCTTTATGGTTAAAAAGTTTTGCCGCATAAGTATTATCCATACTACTTTCCCTACAATGTTATGCAACGGTCATACAATCACCCAAAAAGTATCTAAACTTTAATAGAGATCGTATCGAGATTAATAAAATACCCATGAAAATACCAATTGATTGAGCATCTCTATCAATTTGGATTGAGAAGCCCATTTTGTTGGTCTCTCACTTGCCATGGGCTAAATGAGTGGACTCCTTTATTCTAATAAGAATATATTCTAACAAGCTTAGAATATCATCTTTATGGACCTTTGTTTCCCACAATGTCCTATTTGGCTAAGTTTGTATTGATTCCAAAAATTTTGTAGGTTTTTTAAGATAATAACTTTATTTCACGTGATTTTAGATGAACATTAAATTAGTTTTATCATTGACCATAGTTTCACATATATTAATTCACATACCTTCATGACATGAACAAACTAGTTCAAGCGACATTTTGTAATTTGATGTATAAGTAATCCGTAAATTAGCTATATATAGATTCAAAATTTCTATCAAATATAATATTAAATAATATGCGGATTATTTCTCGTATATTATCTACCAAATAACCGTATAGGGTGTGTACATAGGTCAAAAATTTCTAACAATCATAATACTAAATAATTTAAAATACATAATATATGGACCATTTCTCCTATACTCCCTGCCAAACGAACTTATAGTATGCATACATAAGTTCAAAATTCCTACTGAACATAAATGATACTATACGTAATATATAGACCATTTTTCTTATACTCTTTACCAAACGATCCTATAGGGTGTATACATAGGTCCAAAATTCCTACGAATATAAACAATATCATACATAGACTATTTTTGTTATGCTCCCTACCAAACGACTCTATAGGGTGTACACATAGGTCCAAAATTTCTACCAAACACAATACAATACATAATACATTGACCATTTCTCATACACTCTCTACCAAACGACCCTGTAGGGTGTATACATAGGTCCAAAATTTATACCCAAAAAAATACAACACATAATACATTGACTGTTTCTCATATACTCCCCTACCAAACGACCCTGTAGGGTGTATACATAGGTCCAAAATTTCTACCAAACATAATACATGGATCACTTCTCCGACCTATACACCTTAAATCGACCCTGTAGATTGCTCAAAATTCCTTCCAAACATAATACTAAATAATATTATATGTAACTATTTCTGCTAAAACTCTGATATACCAGCTTCAAGAAAGTTGTCCCATCAAGAAAACACAAGAAATCAAACAAAGAATTCCAACATTAATCCTCTTAGCATCATTTGGCTTAGTAGCAGCAGCAGTTATTGGTGATGGCTTATCATCAGCTGTTATTTCATCATCATCACTAGTACCATTCTTGGCCTTAGCAGGTGCAGGGGCATCATTACTAGATGGAGATTTAGGATCAATAAACTCAGAAGGCACTAAAACTTTGTCTAATTTATAAACAGCCAATGGTGGATCTGTACTAATAGATATTGCTTTTTCATATACATTTGTTACCACATAACCAGATGACACATTCAGTTGATTTTTCTTTCCGGTGAAGTTAAGTCCAAGAGGCTCATTATCTTCCCCTGTCGCTAGCGTCTCTACAGGGTTATGCACTGTTTGTAACTCATCAAATTCGTAGAATTTTGAGATTACATGGTAATTTATGAGTTGTTGTAGTTTATGCTCGTCGTCAGATATACTATTTATGAGGTTTTTGAATGCATTGTCTGTTGGGGCTAACACTGTCACGCCATCGCTGGAATTGGCTTTGTAGTTGATTCGATCTCCAACTTTTGTTTCTTTGAGGAATTTGATGAATGTATTGTATTCTCCTCCACCTTCGAGGATATGATATACGTCAACGGTGGATTCATCTTCTAGGATTCGAAATCTGTTAACTGTAGATTCAGCTCTAGTAACAAGGATGAAAAGAAGAATGAGAGAAAAAAGGTTTTGATGAGACATTTTTTGGAACAGAAATGTGTATGGTGTTAGTTAGTATATAAATTTATAGGATAAGCTTTTGGGCTAATCCTTAGTGGGAATTTTTGAAATCGTCTGAGCCTTTTACTATCTTTTTAGACGTGTAAGAAAATAAAGGAATCAAAATTTGGTCTCCTTATGACTTGAACAAATCTCCCCTTGTGAGTTAGCTTTTGAGATTCAGATAAATTTATCCTAATTTATTGTTTACTAAACTCAGTAATTATGCATTAAAATTTAAAAAAATCTAGCTTGACTTCAATTAAAAAAAAACATTTTAAAAAAGAGAGAAGGCAAAATATTGAAAAGTAGTGACACTTCAAAAATTTCCACTTAAAAAAATACTTTTGGAAGACAATTTTTTTTTTTGTGGCCAGCCATAGTCATTTTCTTGGTGAATATTATAAAATTGAACTTTATCTTTTTAAAATAATTTTTTTTTGAAAGCATCGTACACTTCAATATGTTATTAACATTACTAGTTATAAAAAAATAACAATATGTTTAATTTATAAAAAATAATCGGACTCATACACTTCAATAATTTTCGAGCTCTTGTTCAATTCCACTTTTCTTAGTCCAAAGTTGAGACATGTAGGTCCTAACTCGTTAATCATACTACAAATATTTAAACGACAAAACTTGATAATTATGTGACAACACTAGAACTGTTTTTTCTTCCTTTTTATTTTATCTCTCCTCAGGTAGCTTTCACGTTTATGCTTTTTAATAATTCGAACTTATAAAATTGAGCTTAAAAGTTAAGAAATTGCTTATATACATACAAATACAATATGCATTCATCCTATATGCCAAATGTATTATGTATCAATTGTATCCAATCAAATATATGTGAGAGATTTGCATTTTATATTGATAGTATTTGAAAAATAAGTATTCAATTGTATATGTATTTTGTATCGGTTGTATTTGTTATACAACGAATACAACATGTATTTTTCCTCCCTCCTCCCTCTCTTGATCTCACTCTCTCCTCTTTAGATTTCGCTCGTCTCTCTCTATCTAATATATAATTCATTGTAATACAAATCAACTTGCATTTATATTTTTTCTGTAAAATACACAAAAAATATAATGAATACAAATATAAATGGCAAACCAAAATTTAGCCACGAATTGTATTTTTTTCAAGAAGTTTTAAAATGTTGAGACATTGCGCTTACCTACAACACTATATTATACATTATTATATAATATGCTATTATAATTGCGAATTGTAATTAGTGAAACCATAACTAGCTAAAAGGTCTTATTTAAGCCCATACATTAAATCATGAATTTTAAAGGATATTTGACAAGCCCAATATTTTTGGTCTCTTATTTGTCATGGGCTTAATGAGTGGACTACTTAAGTATAGATACTTATGAGTCAAGAATGAATGGAGATTGAGTTTGCTCCATCAATTGTTTTGTCATTATTGCAAATGTGGGAAAATAATTTTAGTACTATGTTTCAATTCCAATAATATTGTTCATGAGTTGCTTCATTTAAGTTCAATTTGTATCATCATAAAACTAAGACACGAATTCCAAATAAATTGATATATAGTATTGTTCATGAATTGCTTCATTTAAGTTCAATTTGTGTAATCATAAAACTAAGACACAAAACACAATAATTAATATATAATAAGAAGGGAAAAGGGTCTGATATACCCCTTAACTTTGTCATTTAGAGCTGATACACCCCTTATTATGAAAGTGGCTCGTATATACCCCTACTTGTAACAAATGACTCACATATACCCTTTTCCTCTAACGGAAATGAAAAAAATAATTATTTTTTTTCTAAAAGATATAATCTCATATGAGTAAATTTAATCCTCGTCAAACATATTTTTTTGATATTTTTTTGTTTCAATGACTAATTTATAATTATTATTTTGATAATCAAATTTATTTATGTCTCACTAATATTCTTGTAAAACTTATTGTAGATGACCAAACTTTTTCTTCGAATACGAAATTAAATTACAATGCACACAAAAAAAATAGTTTAACTTTTTATTCTATAAACTTAGGAATGAAAGAAAAAACAAAATAAGAATAAGAAATTCAAATAATTATAATAAAAGAAGTCAAAAAATAATTTATGTATGAAAAAAATTAAAATATACCTTGAACTTTGATAGAAGAAT